GCTAAAAACTGCCAACTCTGATTCTTCCACGGTTTTACTTCCCCTAACAGACCTCTCATGAACGCCACTTGCACCAGTACGTACGTACGTAGTTCAAAACTTATTTTATGCAACAAGATATTTAAATGTTGCATGATATATAAAAATGATATCCAATCAGATACGCAGATTCGGATATACAATCATACACTTCGTTACTGGTACGTACCTGAGTTATGTCCCCATTGAGTTATATTGAGAATAAATTCTTTTTTTAAATGTTTTATATATAGAATTATATCCCTACCTCTCTCAAAAATGCACTGGAAAAAAGAGACATAACCCAGTTATTTGTAAATTATATATTTTGCAAACAATGACTACATTTCTGGTATCTAATTTTGTTCCTTAGTCGACTAAACCGACTAAAACCGTTTTTTATTTTATCAACTTGGTCAATATTAAAGAACCGACTCAAACATTATAGTTAGATCTCGATTTCATATATTCACAGATTATAAAAAAACTATTTTTATTTTATCAATCATTATAAAGTATTATAAAACATAAGAAAATTAACCTTTGTATAGGACTTCACTTTATTTATTACAGTATTAAAAAAATTTAGCTATACAATAACGAGTACGTATTATTAACTTATTTGTTCTGTTTTATAATGAAATATTGTTAATAATATTTTTTTATAAAAAAAATAAAAGATTAAGAAAATAATAAAAAGGAAAAATAAAACCGATACAAATAAAAATTAAAAATTGAAGTAAATCAAAAAAATATTAATATAAAAATCTGCTAACTAGATAAAAAACTTTTTATCTAGATAAAATTTTTTATTAAATAAAAAGTTATTTTATAAGTAAAAATCTAATACAGTGCCTAACAAAAGTTTCTTCGCATCCGTAGATCTTTTAAAATAATATGTAGCATTCCAACTTTTTGTAAAATTTTCTCAACAACATAATCAATTTTAATAATTAATACCTCTTTTGTATTCTATAAAATTGTAGAATTCAAAAAAAGAGTTCTTAAACGTTGAAATAGATTACATTGTTGCTGTGATATTACTGTCTGGTGATGCTAGGATGGTTAGGTATTAGTAGGCATGAATAATATAAACAAAAAAGTTTAGTTATTCGAAGACTGTGAGTTTTATTTATCCGGACCAGCCCAACGTGTGTGTAAAGCGAAGAATAAAACAAATCGAAAAAAGCGAAAATGCAGTGTCAAATATGAGCAAATGTATTTTATTATCAAAAAAAATAAATATAAACTGCTTTTATAGTCACACTAGTTTCTACGATATGTATAACCAACTTACACAATATTGCAATATCTAATACTAATCAATAAACCGAAATTTAATTCGATAGAATTTTATAGTAGGAAAACATAATTCAGTTAACTTTTTTGATATAATCTTCAATAATTAACCGACTTGCTCTCCAAGCAACCATAGTAGTGGCTGCATTAGTATTTCCGCTTGGAATATAAGGAAATATCGATGCGTCAACAACTCGAAGATTTTTAGTATCATAAACTTGAAGTCGATGATTGACTACTCCATCTTTAGATTCTGGTGCCATTTTTACTGTTCCGCTTGAATGAAACGTCGTAGTTGCCTAAATAAAAAAAATAAGATAATGATGGTATTAATTATTTTATATGAATGACATCTATTCATAATATAAAATACGAACCCTTTCCACAACAAACTTTTCCCAATCCTCATCACTAATATCATCCCCGTTGGTACTCCATTGTCCGTATTCATCATTTATCCCAACTTCCTTAACATTATAAACAGTACTCAATGGTGGCTGCTTAAGTATTTCACGACATAATTTAAGTGAGCTGACCATTCTATATAAATCAACTGATTTTTCGAAATAGTTTAGATGTAGTCTTGGTTTATCGAATGGATTGTTACTATTAAGTTCTAGATAACCAACACTTGATGGATTATTAAGAACTGTCAACATAATGGTCCCACTGATTTTATGATTTGACAATTCTTTTATAAAACCGGTTCTGTATGGCGTCACTGTTTATATAATATATACTATAGTAAATAAACATTGTTATATATAATTTCATGTTTTACTGTAACTAAAACATACCAATAATCTGCATATCTGGATTATCGTCAAAAAAGTCTTCTTTGCAAGGAATCTTTCCTTCAACGTTAGCTTTATGCATTATCCCAATTTCAGATCCACTACTCCAATGGTGAATTTCATCTGGATTTGCTTTTGCAGCAAATAGGCAGGAAGGATGATCCCACAAATTTCTTCCAACTGGCAGTTCTTTACGTACTTTTATATTATTTGCTTCAAGATTTTCTTTCGGTCCAATACCAGAAAGCATCAATATCTTTAGAAAAAAGTAATTCAAGCCAGATTACTACTATAATATACAATTACTGCAACATTATCATTATTATTAATTTTTCATATTCTTACCTGAGGACTATTAATAGCTCCACCACAAAGAATGACTTCACCTTTTGGTGCAATAAAAGCCTCATGCACTGTACCATTGCAAAAATATCTTACGCCGATCGCAATATTTTCTTTTTCATTCTTTTCGTCCCAAATAATATCTAATACATGAGCATATGATCTAATATCTACGGCAACAATTTTTCCAAATTCATATGGATCTGAACCTGAATGTAATTCGACTTTTTTTAGCGCATCTTTTAAATAGCCTTCAGCCAAAGAACACCTTCTTCCCTCTTTATTTGTAAACTATAAGTGCAATTCAATTAATATATTATGATTTTAGTGTGTTAATTTAAAAAAACTATGTATAGCATATGCGAAGTTATTATTTCAAAAACCTGATATGTTCCAACTCCATTTTGTCTTTCACCGTTAAAATCTTCATTATAAGGAATTCCAAGGCTTTTCGCAGCATCAATAAAACCTGGCATAACATCGTAGAGCCCGTTATGACAGTCTTGCACATGAAGTAAACCATTAAATCCATGTAATTGTTTAAATTTCTCATCCGGTTTATCTCGTGAATTATTTTCCGTTGCCTTGAACGCTTTTATCAAAATAAATAAATAAAATAAATATAAATATAAATATATTGTATACTTCTTAATAATTTAAAATAGCAAATCATACCTTCCAAACAATGATCCCAATCCCAAATTTTGTATTCAGGACCTTGAGCTGCCCAATCGTTGTATCCTTTCGCCTGACCTCGCCTAAAATAAAGTCAGATATATTAAAAAATTTAACATTCATATAATTAGAAGAAGAAACTTACACGTAAATCAATGCATTAACAGAGCTACTTCCACCCCAACCCTTTCCGCGTGGATAAAAGAGTCCCTTTCTCAGTATTTCTTTAGTAGGATTTACACGGCTTCGCACTTTCTGTTCCTGAGTAACATATCCCCAGTCATTATCAGCAACTTGGAAGGTCTATGTTACAAAAATAACGCGAGAAATCTAAATAAAACCATGTGATTCAATAAAAGATTTTGACGAAAGATGATTATCACCTTAAACCAAGTACATGGCAAATTAATTAAACCATTGGAATGAGCATCAGGTCCACCGGCTTCTAATACTAGAATATTAATATTTGGAATACCATGAATCAATTCTCTGGCAAGCACGCAGCCTGCAGTACCGGCACCCACAATAATAAAATCATAAATTTCTTTAGTTTTAAATTTTGCATGTTTGTCATGATCACAAATATTTTTCATCCAAAGTTCTCGAATTTTTGCATCTCTTTTTAATTCCTCTTGATTTTTTTCAGTTATAATCGGATTTTCTTGTTTCATGTTTTTTGTCAATAATTGTCAGGAGCGAAACGAGAGGTTTATATAGAATTTTTGCCTTGAAAATCACCTTACGACATTTTCCTATCGGGTCAATTCGGACAAAACAGACCAAAATATAGGTTTGTACTTATATATGAATCGCATTTGACCTATTTGTTCAACAGTTTATTAAAGGTTAAATGTGATTCACATATAAATACAAACTGATACTTTGATCTGTTTTGTCCAAATTAGTCTGATCGGAAAATGTCATAAGGCGATTTTCAAGGAAAGACCCATATTTTCAGGTCATTAAAAGCTAAGATTGTTTGTGCAAAGTGTTTCAGACATTGCAGAAATATTTGGTGCAACGAGAATGATAAGGATGTACGCACGAATAGTGCCACCACATACATAATTCAGTGTTGGCAAATATAACAATAAAAAGAAGCTCAAATTTTTTGTCTTTATATAAATAAAAAATTTAATTAATAATTTACAATTATTTAAATATATATGTTACGGGTCAAATTGGTTTTTAGGTCAAGTTAACCCTGACCCGGGTCAAATTGATCAATTAAAATACCCCGGCCGACATCAACATAATTTCGGCCCGCCTTAACCCTAAAAATTCTGCTAGGGATCAATTTGGCCCGGGTCAAGATTAACTTGACCTAAAAACCAATTTGACCCGTAACATATATATTTTATAAACCGTTATAGTGTAATAGCGGTTTTACTAGCAAGGTTACATATAATCCGATATAATAGGTCTATAACATTTCGAATTAGAAATATTGTCGAATTATGGATATAGTCAGATTTCTCAACCTTTCTAAATGCATGTCCTATGAAAAACCTCTCTAATTGCATGCCTTCACTT